TTTGTTTACTTATATGTGGTGCTGAGAATTGAACCCAATGCCTCACATGTGCTAGGCAACCCTAGCCCCCAAATTACCATAAAATTCTCGCCTTTATGTGTACTATTCAATGGGTTTTGTTACATTCACAAAGAGATGCAACAATCAACAGTAATTTCAGAATATGTTATCGCCTCAAAAAGAACCCCACCTCGGCTGGGCACGGAAACACACGCTTGTAATCCCGGCGGCTCCGGAGGCTGAGGGAGGAGCATCGCAGGTTCAAAGACAACCTCAGCAAAAGGTGAGGTACTAAGCAACTCAGTGAGACCCTGTCTCTAAATTTAAAAAAAAAAAAAAAAAAAAAATAGTGCTGGGGATGTGGCTCAGTGATCTAGTGCCATCGAGTTCAATCCCCAGTACCAAAAATAAAAAATAAAAAACCAAAAAAAAACTCACCCCACCCAGTAGTATTACAACTCATTTTCCCCTTCAACCAATCCCTGAGAACCACTGAATCCACTTTATATTCCATGGATTAGCCTGTTCTGAATATAAATATGTGCATACGCATAAATACTCATTTGATGTGCCTTTGTGAACCTGCAATCTCAGGGACTTGGGAGGGTGAGGCAGGAGGACTGCAAATTTGAGGCCAGCATCAGACCCTGTCTCAAAATAAAAAAGACTTGTGTGGATAGCAGCAGACTGTGCTTTGCTCTAAGTTCCTACATGACCTATGAAACAGCAGTTTTCAGGTTGTACCTAAACCTGTTAGACCATTTTGTAAAGTAGTAGTTTGCCATTGAGTGCTGAGGTGGAATGACTATAGTTTGTCTACACAAGTAAACATACTATCTGCTTGGCACAGTCTGCTAAGTTAATTGTGCTAATAAGAATGACCACCTGGGGCTGGGGTTGTGGCTCAATAGCAGAGCACCAGAGCATGCACCAAGCTTGTGTGAGGCATTGAATTCGATCCTCAGCACCACATAAAAATAAACAAACAAAAGTGTTTTTTAAGATTAAGATTACGTACCGCATTTGAATCAAATGTATGATATGTCAAGATCATTGTAATGTTTTGAGCAACTAATAAAAAAATTTTTAAAAAAGTAAATAAAAAGAAATGATCACCTTAATGAATTAATCAGAAGTACATGGATGCATGGGATATAAAACTCATATTGGAAAAAGGAGGCCTATGAGCTTATTGAACACACCAGACCACCAAATAATGCAACCCCCTTAACTTGAGGACCATAGAAGAAGCACCCCCAGATTGGACACAGTGGCAGTGGCACCCTGACCCCATCACCTGGTTATTCATGAGTCTTGCCCAGGAAAATCACCCATGACTAAACCTCTGAATCTCTCCTTGGGTTTTAGCAGAGTGGTTTCTCCTCCCATGACAAGCATGCAAGTTCCACTCTACATAATACTGTGAAACTGTCCTAGGCCTAGAATAACTTCTTGTGCTTTGACAGCTCTGCACCCTGAGCAAGGTCTTTGGCTGGTTCATAATCTTATCTGACCACCTACATAGATTATTTATATTCATATCTGCTCTCTGCCATTGCTCTCATGAAGTTCAGACTCCTGAACTCCTGTGGTTGCCTTAACCCTTAATTCTTAATTTCTTATATCTATAACACTTAAGCCACGCATCCCACTAGGTGGGATAGATATTAGAAATTAAGATTGGAATAAAAAAAATTTGTGATTGCCTGGCTTATAACTACCAGGTGACCCAC